CGGTGGCGCTCACATTCCAGGCGCCTCTCGGTGGTGTTGGGGTCATTTCCTGCGTATGAGTGTTCCCTCAAACTGCACAGAGCCCTCCTGCCGTCCCTCCGGGGTGCAGAGGCCGGGACGGGGAGATGTACCGGCCCCACTGGGGTCCCTGGCCCCAAGGACGCTGCGCGCGAGGCGGCCTCGCAATGACGCGCTGGCCAGTGGGCTCGGGGGCGGGGCCGGGGGCGGGGCCGAGGATGGGGCCTGTGGGCGGGACCTTGGGACCCGGAGTAGCGTGATCTGGAAGGCGGGGCGCTGCCAGACCGCTCGGCCCCGGGCGCGCAGACCACGTGTTCGTTGCCCATCACTACGGAGCTCTGGCCAAGTGCCAAGTAGAATTCCCAACGCTTTGTAAATGCTAACTATTGTGATCTTTTTTTTTTTTTTTTTAAACAGAGTCTCATTCTGTCACCCAGGCTGGACTGCAGTGGCGCGATCTCGGCTCACTGCAACCTCCGCCTCTCGGGTTCAAGTGATTCTCCTGCCTCAGCCTCCTGAGTAGCTGAGATTAAAGGCGCACCCACCACCATGCCGGGCTAATTTTTGTATTTTTAGTAGAGACGAGGTTTCACCAAGTTGGCCACGCTGGTCTTGAACTCCTGACCTCAGGGTGATCCGCCCGCCTTGGCCTCCCAAAATGCTGGGATTACAGGCGCGAGCCACCGCGCCCGGCCAACTATTACGATCTTAACACACCCCTTAGGTTCTTTTTTTTTTTTTTTTTTTTTTGAGACGGAGTCTCGCTCTGTCACCCAGGCTGGAGTGCAGTGGCTGGATCTCAGCTCACTGCAAGCTCCGCCTCCCGGGTTCACGCCATTCTCCTGCCTCAGCCTCCCGAGTAGCGGGGACTACAGGCGCCCGCCACCTCGCCCAGCTAGTTTTTTGTATTTTTTTTTAGTAGAGACGGGGTTTCACCATGTTAGCCAGGATGGTTTCGATCTCCTGACCTCGTGATCCACCCGTCTCGGCCTCCCAAAGTGCTGGGATTACAGGCTTGAGCCACCGCGCCCGGCCAGGTTCTATTTTTGACTGTCGCTTAGAGACAAAAAAAGCTAAGGCAGAGAGGTTGGTGAAAGCTACACCCACCTCTTACCAGACCCCGGAGCCTCTACTGTGAACCCCTGCACTCTACAGGGAGCTCTCTACCTGCAGTTTTGCACCTGGCGTCTCATATCTGAGTCTCACATTACCCTGTCCCTGTCTTCACCCCAGCTGCATAAGTGCACCCCCCCCCACCCAGGCATGCATGGACTGGCAGAGTCCATCGCAAGACATGGGCCTGAGAGGCAGGGGTGAGGCCGGAGGTTTGTGGCTCAGGGAGCACCGTGGCTGGTGTTAGGAGGCAGTGGAGCAGCTTGGAGGACTTGGTTCTTTGAAACGCCAGAGCAGCAGAACTGGGGGTCCCCCGCCTGGAGAAGGGTGCACGGGACAGAAGCCTTCTTTAGCTGCGGAGATGCCCACCAGAAGCCTTAGGGCGCTGGAACTTTTAAGAAAATGGTCAATTCCGGCCTTACCCAGGGACAGAGCTGGCCAGAGTCACATTTATGGTAGTAAATAGTGAATGTTGGCGAAATGCTTTCTAAAAATGCCCTTGCAAGGAAGGGAGAGGTAGCCCAGGAATTTCTAAAGTAACAATGCCTGTTATAATATTTCCCCTGGTGCGGTAAATCCGTAAAGGTGAGTGGATTACAGAAAACTTACCGTGCCACGCGCACACCTGTGCCTGGGAGTTTTCTCCGGCTTGTTGGAGGAAGCGTGCACAGCAAGACTGCTCCCCAAGTCAAGAAGCTGGTACGGGTGGAAATTTAAGGCCTGGAGGTGTTGGGGAGGCAGCAGGGAGACCCAGTTGTCCCTGCAATGAAGACATGAGGGGTTTGGGTCCCCACCCCTGCCAGCCTGGTGTGGCAGGCAAGGACGGCTTCAGGTGGACCTCAAGGGCAGAGGCCCATCTGGGAGAGGGTCTCCCCTGCAGGGGCCTGAGGCTGGCGGTCACCTGCCAAGCACTGTCAGCCAAGAGGCTGGAGCCAGCAGGATGCTTGAGACCAGCCCGGAGAGAATACAGGGGCAGGGGCTGCCTCTGAGCAGTGCTCTGGACGAGGCATTAGTGTCTGTGGCCACGCCCAGGAGGCTGTAGGGTGGGGGAGGACAGGTCTCTGAGGGGCCCAGAGCAAAGGTAATGACAACTGGTGCTCACACCTGCCTGAGGGATTTCACCTGGGCGCTCCCTGGCCCTCGCCGGCTTTGTCATCTGACCTCTCCACGGGTGGCTGCCATATCCCCCAGTTAAAAGGAGGCTTCAGGGATGGAGGAGTTGGGCTTTAGGGGAAGGCGGTCTGGTGGACGGGGTCTTCTGAAGTGGGAGGAGGAAGGACAGAGGAGCAGGGTTCAGGGTCCACAGAGGAAGAGCAGGAGGCCTGCGGGGCCTTCGACCAAAGTTCTCTGCCAACGCAGGGCAGGGCCAACTGCCAGGACGTCCAGGTCAAACTCTTGCCTCTTAGGAGCTGCATTCAAACCCGGAAGCCAAGAGTCAGGCTGAGTGTGGGGGAAAGAAAGTTTAAAGTAATAGACTTGAATATGGAAATAAAGCAAATTTAATAAGACAGTTTATTAAAGTGTTACGTGTTTGTGTTAGAAAATTTGAAAACAAACATAATGAAGAAAAGCATAATACACCATCCTTCACTGACATTGTTAAGCAAATGTAAATATCAAATATCAATCTACTCTTCCCATATTTTAATGCACCTTAGCTTAGTTTAAATAAACATTTTATACATGTTTGTGATAGGAGCATCGAACCACCATGGCACACGTTTACCTGTGTAACAAACCCGCACGTTTTGCACATGTATCCCAGAACTTAAAGTAAAAGAATATTTAAAAAAATAAATTAATCTCTGCCAAGTGCAGTGGCTCATGCCTGTTATCCCAGCACTTCGGGAGGCTGAGGTGGGCGGATCACCTGAGGCCAGAAGTTTGAGACCAGCCAGGCCAACATGGTGAAACCCCGTCTCCACAAAAGATACAAAATTAGCTGGGTGTGGTGGTACATGCCTGTAGTCCTAGTTACTCAGGAGGCTGAGACAAGAGAATCCCTTGAACCCGGGAGGCAGAGGTTGGGGTGAGCTGAGATCGCGCCACTGCACTCCAGCCTGGGCAACAGAGCAAGACTTCACCTCAAAAAATAAAAAAAAAAAAAAATACATCTATTTTAATCTGTAAAATTTTTTTATACGTTTGTAATCTATGTTTTTTTATTTAACAGTATAACATAAGCATTTTCCTATGTTCTCAAAAACTCTTTGAAAGTATAACTTCTAATGTCTGCTTAGTCAGCATATAAATATGAATACCACATTTTCGCTGATATTTTCCTATTGTTGAACATTAGTGGTTTACAATTTTTGCTGCAAATGACATATATACGTATTTTCATTACTTTGCATTTTTTTTAGAACAGTTTACAAAAAGTTAGATTAATGGACCAAAGTCTAAACAATTTTAAGGCTCTTAATACGTATTATAGTCGAATTGCCTTCTGAAAGGGCTGTACTGGTTTTCTGTCCAGATAGGACTGGGTGGGGTCCCCCTCCCTCTCCACCCTTCACTGAATGTGAGGGAACTTCCACAACAGGTGAGGCCCGCGGCCAGTGCAGCCACCTCGGTGAGCTCTCTCCCCTGAGGCTGGACGAGCTGGCCTTGCAGCCAGGACTCTGGGAGTGACTGAGGATTTCTCAGGTGATGCCCACGGAAGGTGTGGGGGGAGGAGGAACAGTTTCTGCAATGAAACTTGGAATGCTGAAAAAGTCATTGAAAAAGAGCACAGCAGCTGTGTGGACAGCTGAAGTGATGCCTGAGTAACTCACACGACCTGCCAGCAGATTGCTTTAGCACAATGACAACGTGAGCACAGAGAATCCTGGGCAGGCTGAGCTGGGGACTGGGGAGCCACACCCGTCACGGACAGTGCAGGAGCTGGGCACGTGGATCTTGCGTGTAAGTTCCTCCCAAGCTCAACAAGCCTTGCAGATTCTGTTTCTGAACTAGATCGAACTTGGCAGCTGTGACTCTCTGGTGAGACTGCTGGATGGTCCCTGTCCCACTTACCCTGCTTTCTTCCATGGGAAAAGAGCTCACATGCCCCAGGCTTCCTTGCCATAGAGTGTGGTCATGTGACTAACCATGTGACAGGTGGGGGTGCCTCCTTCACCCTTTCCTCTTCCCACTGGCTGGAACGTGGATGAGGTGACCGGAGCTTGAGCAGCCGTTTTGGACCAGGTGATGGGACCATATGTTTAAGGCGGCAGAGCAACAAGCTAAAGGCATTCTGGGTCTCTGATGACTGTAGTGCGGCCATGCTAGTCCAGGACTAGCCAACTCCAGATTTTTGTTTCGTTTTAAAGACAGTCTCACTCTGTCACCCAGGCTAGAGTGCAGTGGTGTGATCTCGGCTCACCACAACCTCTGCCTCCCAGGTTCAAGCGATTCTCCTGCCTCAGCCTCCCAAGTAGCTGGGATTACAGGCGTACACTACCATACCTGGCTAATTTTTGTATTTTTAGTAGAGACGGGGTCTCACCATGTTGGCCAGGCTGGCCTCGAACTCCTGACCTCAGGTGATCCACCCGCCTCGGCCTCCCAAAGTGCTGGGATTACAGGCGTGAGCCACCGCGCCTGGCCAACTCCAGATTTCACTTACAGGAGAAATACACAGCTTGTCGAAGCCACCACCATTCTGCACACAAATCTTAATGTGTCCCATTTGGATTTGCTCCATCTGAGTTCACAGGTCCTCGGCCACCACTTCACTCCCTTGTCTTTGCCAAAGTGGTAAAGCTGTGGTCTCTGCTGCTATCCCAGCCTGTCAGGAGGTCCCCCAAGGAGAAACATGGGTGGGGCCATGTTAACCCTTGGGGAAACCGGAGCCAACTGTCAGCCCTGGGCCCGAACCACAGCAGAGGGCTGCTGGGCTTGCCGGGGGGTGCTCTGGCCCCAGCGGGCCTGGTGCTGTTTGGTGTGACAGCGTCTGTCTGCAGAGCCCTGTCCCTGCTTCCCCAGCTTCCCAGCAGCTTTCAGAAGCGGACTCCTCGCCACACACACTGCAGACAATGCCTGCCAGCCCGCAGCCTGGGCCCCCACTCCCTGCATCCCCTCCATCCTCGGGGCACTCCACTGGACGGTCACTCTCAGGACACCCAGAGTCTGCCCAGCTGCTGCCCTCAGCCCAGGCTGCACAGAACATGCTCAGGGCCTGGGGATGTGGGGTGGGGGACTCCTCCTCCATTGTCTACACAGCCTGGGGCCAGCCACGTGTCCCCAAGACTCCAAGGACTCCCCAGCTGGGGCCCAGAAAGCAGGGACTCGAGTGGGAGAAGACAGTTTCTTTGGGAGTCTGTCTCGTCCTTAGTCCTCCTTGCCCCAGTTTCTCCTCTAAGGGAATCAACACTGGACCTGTGGGGTGGGGAGGCCGTGGCCTGGGGTGGGATGCTTTTGGAGGGAACATGGGGATGTGTGAGCAGGAGTGAGAGAGGCAAGGCAAGTGGGGGTGTTGGTGCCAGCTCTGTCAGGGGCTCTGTGCCATCCTGCTTCCCCCTAGGACCAGGTGTCATGAGCTCCATCTCACAGTGGAAACCCCCTTCTCGGGAACTCTAGCTTAGGAGTCCCCCACCTGCCCCTCCGGCCCCTGACCTGCCATCTGGGCTCCAGGAAGGTGTCGCAGGCCCCAGGGGCTGGGGGACTCTCCTGGCCCGGACGCCAGCTCCTCCCCGACTACACCCAGGCGCAGAGGCTGCGGGACGCCGGAGGAGGAGGAGGGAGGGGCGAACCCCACGCGGAAGTCAGGTAGGAGCGCCCGCCACTGGCAGCTGCTCTCCTGGCCGTCAAACCCCAGCCGGAACTGCAGCCGCAGCCAGCATGCAGGTGAGTTCTGCGCTCAAAAGGGTCCACACCTGCATGTCCCCAGCCACACCCACACCTGGGCCACCTGGCCCCAGCCACCGGCCGCCAGCCCCACCAGGAAGGCGCCTGTGTCCCTGCAGGCTGCCAGGTTCGGTGATGGTGAGAGCCCGGCTCAGCTAAGCTGCCTGCTGGACCCCTGGGGCACGCTGGGGGTTGGAAGTGCTGGAGGAGGGCAGTGCTCCTCCCTCCAGCTCGGGATTCTGAGGACACCAAGGCCGGGCTCTTAGCAAGTGTGTGGGACCAGGAACCTTTACCAGAGTCCTCAATACGAGATGGAGCGGGCAAGTCCACCGGGGCTGGGGCTGCTGGTGAGGACCCCAGACCTTGCAGCTGGTCCCTAAGGGGGAGGGGCTGTGGGCTCCAGGCGGGCTGCCCCAGAGTTGGGAGCTGCAGAGTGGCCGGCGGGCTGTGGGCTCTCTGCTCCCCAAGGAGCCCTCCCCAGGCACAGGTGGGGCCGATTGCTGCAGCTGGATTCCGATTCTGGGGGTGGGGGTCCAGAGCAGAAGGGGGCGCGGTGCAGGAGAACACACAGGAAGACATCCTTTCTCCCCTCTGCCAGTGAAGAGGTCACCTGGGGCCAGGGGCCAACACCTGGGCGGGTCAGCACCTGGTCGGCCCAGGGAGGAGGCAGTGGTGAGGTGCAGAGTGAAACCAGACTCTCTCTCGACCTGCCAGGGCCTCCACCCGTGGGCTGCACAGGCGGCCTCTTGCTTCACCTCTGCCCAGGGCTCTCCTCCGCCCTCCACATCCAGCTCCGACACCCTGGCTGCTCAGCCCAGCACCTGATGCCCCTTGGCCTGAGCTCAGGGTCCCCACTGCCAGCCCCTTCCTCCCATGCTGGGGGTGGAGGAGAGACTTCGGGCTGGCCAGGGATTGGGTTGGGAGAGGCAGCACCTGGTTTGCCAGAAGTGAGAGCATCAGTCCTTCAAAAAGGATGGTTATAGCCGGGCCTGGTGGCACATGCCTGCAGTCCCAGCTACTCCGGAGACTGAGGCAGGAGGACTGCTCGAACCCGGGCCTGGTGGCGTGTGCCTGCAGTCCCACTTGGGAAGCTGAGGCAGGAGGACTGCTCCAGCCTGGGAGTTCTGGGCTGTAGTGTGTTAGGCTGATTGGGTGTCTGCACTGAGTTCAGCATCAATATGGTGACCTCCCAGGAGCAGGGTGAGCATCAATATGGTCACCTCCCAATATGGTGACCTCCCAATATGGTGACCTCCCAATATGGTCACCTCCCAATATGGTCACCTCCCAAGTTGCCTAAGGAGGGGTGAACCGGTCCGGGTCGGAAACGGAGCAGGTCCAAACTCCCGTGGTGATCAAAAAGGACAGTTGCAGACACGGGGAGGACTTGGTAGTCCCAGCTCCAGGCTGGATCTGAGCGTGCCTTTCCTCTGCTCTAACCCCTTCCATGGCTCCCCACTGCCCCCTGCTGAAGTCCAAGCCCTCCAGTTGGCCAAGCAGCCCTCCCTGATTGGCTTCTGCCAACCTCCAGCCTCCCCTTCGGGCAGCTCCCTTCTTGTCCTTTATGCTTCTGCAAAGCTGAAGTGCCAAGGACTGAGTCCCTGGACTCAGTTTCCATAGGTGCTGAGTGCTGAGTCACCAGGAGTAGTAGCTACCAAGTCCTCCTTGGAGGTGCTGAGTGCTGAGTCCCTGGGAGGTGCTGACTGCTGAGTCCCAGATACCAACTGCACCCTGATTCTCAGGGCCTGCCCACACATGTTCTTTCTCCCAGGAATTCTGCTCCCATTTTCTCACCTTCTGCCAACCTCTTACCCTACAATGCCAAGCTCCATGCCTCCTCACCTGCCAAGTAGGCCCCTGCCCCTGCATCCACGAACGCCATGCACTGCCTGGGAGGGCTGCATGCAGGTCACTCCGTCAGTGTCTGGGGATGGACGGGCACATGGATGGGTGAACTGACAGATGACAGACTGGGCAGCTGGGTGGGCGGACGACTGGCTTCAGGGCCTCCAAGGGAAGGTTTGCTCAGAGGATGCGTAGGCTGGGCAGAGGCTGGGCAATGTGGCTCACAAGGTGGGCCTCTGTGTGCTTGGGACTGCAGTGGGGGCAGGAGGGGACCCTCCGTGGATGACGAAATTGAAGTTCTCAAGGGCCAGATTCCCAGAGGGCTCAGGGCCCTGGCCAAGAGGCCTGACGTGACCTCAGGAGGAGATGAGGCCCAAACACCTTCCCATGTACACCTGGGGGGACGTGTGTCACGGGACCCCTGGCCAGGCCTCTCAAGAGCGGAGTGGGGTCATATCTACACAGCCGTCTCCTCTGCCTGCCCCCAACCTGGAGGCTGGACTGGGAAGAGGAAGGATGGACAGGACCCCCAGCTCTGTCCTCACACTCCAGCCCTTGGAAGGGTCTCCTGTGGGCTACAGTGTCTCTAGAAGCTTCCTCATTGGGAGCCGGGGGCTTGCCCACTGGATGCTGGCCTATGCCCACAGTGGGGGTGCCAGGGGTCCCCCACCAACTCCTTGGGGCCCTGGGTTACTGGGTGTGTCGCCTGCGAGGGCTGTGGTGCAGGAAGGACGGGGAGGACAGTGTGTGGTTCTGTCCACCTTCTTCCTGTGTCTGCATACCGCTCAGGTGACTCTGGGGGCTGGGGTGAGGGCACCCTGTTGCACAGATGAGGAAACTGAGGCCTGGGGCGTCTCGGTGGTGTCAGAGCCACGGCCTGGCCGGCTGTCCACCCGGAGCTGGCCTCCCTCTCTGGGTTTGCGGACGGCAAGGCTGGCTGAAGCTTCAGAGGTCCCAAGACTGAGTGTGTAGGGCCAGCCCCGGTCCCTGCCTTGGGAGCTGGGAGCCTGTGGGCCCACACACAGCTTCCCGGAGGTGCAGCCCATGGACTGGGGACATGGGGGTCCCAGACATCTCACTGTGGAAAAACCTCTCACTGTGGATAAACCGAACAGTCTGCTTGGGTGGAAGCAGAGGTGACTTCAGGTGGTCCAGCCCCCACCTGTGAAGACCCCGAGGGCGGTGTGGAGAAGCCAGGCTCCCGTGGCTCCATAAACACAGGCCCTGGAGATGGAAGGACAGATGGACGGCAGATCCTGGAGGCCGGTGGGCCCAGAGTTCCGCAGCAGAGTCTCAGAGCCTGAGGCCTGTCTGGCTGTGTGTGCTGGGAGGCTCCACCTGTCTGGCTGTGTGTGCTGGGGGGCCCCACCTGTCTGGCTGTTGGGGGGGCTCCACCTGGCAGCCCTAGTGCTTCTGCCTGGTCTAAGGGAGCAGCTAAGGGCAGCCAGGGGCTGGCACGCCCCAGGTGTGCGTGTAGCTCTGCCCCGGGTGGAGGGCTCCACACCCCACTCCCCGGGGTAGGCTGACTTGGCTGTTTCCAGAGGCGTGGGGTCATCACCCCAGGGCTGCACGATGTCTTTGGTGGGGAAGAGGTTTCTGTGCCTCATTTCTGGGGTGAGGGATGACTTCCCACCCCGACCTTTGAGAGTGATCCCCAAGGACAGTCCCTTCTCCCAGGCTTCTCTGAAAGTCCTGCCTAGTCTGGGGTCCCTGCCTCGTCCCTTCCTTCTCAGGGGTCTGGGCTCATCCTGCCTGCTTTCAGCTTTGGGCCCAGGCTGATGGGAGGGGGTCTCTAATTTCAGCGTCTGCCAGAGGAGCTGGGGTTCTGGGCAGAGGAGGGACCCTCATCCTGGGTCTGAAGCCAGGCATGTGAGGGGCCATTCCCCCACAAACCCCACTGACACACTTCCCGGGCTCCTACAGAGGCAAGCCACACAGCCAGAGCCGTGACGCCCACGTCCCCCGGGCCACCAGTCCCCTCGGGCGAGGCTGCCCTCTGCACTGAGACAGAGGTGCCTCTCCCGCCTGGGCAGGTGGCACGCCCTTCCCTGCATATCTGTCCTAGGATGGAGGTTTCTCCTCTGACCCAGGACGGGGGAGAAGTTTCAGTGTGGCATGCCACACCTGAGTGCAGGTATCTGTCCGTGGGCTGTTGGGAAGGCCAGGCAGGGAGTCAGAGGAAGGGCTGATTGAGGCAGGAAGAACTGCTGGTCTAGGACGGGGCAGAAGGACCAGGTGAGCCCCGTGGGCCAACTAGAGCAAGAACCTCCCCACCCAGGGAGGCTGCAGTATGGCGCTGGGCGCTGAGATGGTGTCTGCGCAGCCCATCTCCCCGTGACCGGGGCGTCGGAGGCCTCAGAGCAGCGCTCCCCAAACTTTTCGGCACCAGGGACCGGTTTCACAGAATACAGTTTTTCCACAGCTGTGGGTGTGGTGGGATGGTTTTGGGATGAAACTGTCTCACCTCAGATCATCAGGCACTGGATTCTGATAAGGAGCAGCTGAGATCCCTGCATGTGCAGCTCCCATTAGGGCTCTCGCTCCTGCGAGAGTCTGATGCCGCCGGTGATCTGACGGGAGGCGCAGCCCAGGCGGGAACGGGAACGCTCACCCCCGCTCACCCCTGCTCACTCACTGCTCACCCCCCTCTCACCTCCTGCTCATCCCCCTACTCACCCCTGCTCACCCCCTGCCCACCTCCTGCTCTCCTCGGTTCCTGACTGGCCGAGGACTGATACTAGCTGTGGACCAATCCCCTGCCTGAGAGCCTCCCATTCTGGGGTTGGTTGGATGCATTTCCTGGCTTCTGTGGTTGAGACAGTAGAGAGAATGGGGAGACCTGTCCCAGAATCAGTAGCTCCTGGTGTGTGTGGGGGGGGTGGGGGCTGGAGGGCAGACCTTGACTAGGGTTACAGACTTAGTGAAACAAAATAAGAGACAGGGCCAGGCGCGGTGGCTCATGCCTGTCATCCCAGCACATTGGGAGGCCAAGGTGGGCGGATCACCTGAGGGCGGAAGTTCGAGACCAGCCTGGCCAACATGGAGAAACCCTGTCTCTACTAAAAATACAAAATTAGCCGGGTGCAGTGGTGGGTGCCTGTCATCCCAGCTACTCGGGAGGTTGAAGCAGGAGAATCGCTTGAACCCGGGAGGCGGAGGTTGCGGTGAGCCGAGATCATACCGCTGCACTCCAGCCTGGGCAACAAGAGGAAAACTCGGTCTCAAAAAAAAAGGAAAAGAAGAAAAAAAAAAAAGAAACAGACACCCAGTCAAGCTGAATGTCAGATAAACAATATTTTTAGTGTAGGCGTGCACCATGCAATCACTGGGGCATCTATCCTATCCTATCCTACCCTACCCTACCCTATCTATACTACATCCTTCTGTTGTTTATCTGGAAATGAAGTGTGACTGGGTGGCCTCTGTTTTACCTGGCAGCCCTCAAGGGCCAACAGGCTCAAGCAGTCAAGTGAGACTTTCCGGAGGAGGCAGGTCTTGAGCTTGGCGAGGATGCAGCAGGGAGAGGGGAAGGACTCAGGTGCAGGGACCGGGTGTGATGCAGCCAGAGATGGCATGGGGACTGCCTCAGTAATTAACAAATATCAGGCGGACGCTCTGAGGCCCTGCAAATTCCCCTCCTCCGGAAGGTTCTGGCCCCAGACTCTCGTGTCCCTGTGTCTGCTGGGATGTGCCTGTGGCAGTCACCCCGCGGGAGCCCCGTGCACTGTGCCCTGCAGGCACTCACCTCGCCTGCTGCAGGACCCTCCCTGTGTGAGGATGGCATGGTGTCCATCCGTCTGCCCAGCCCGGGACCTCATGTGAAACGGGGCCGCTGTGAGTGCCCTTGTCTGCACCTCCAGGGGTGGACGGGCTGGGCCAGGAGCTGGGAGCGTTCGATTTTAAACACAGTCCAACAGGTTTCCAAACCCGTGCTCTGATACGCACAGCACCGGGAGTGTGCAGGGGTGCCTGTGGCTTCTCCCGCGCATCGGCGTCTCCTGGTCCTCTGACCTGCGTTTCCCTGGCTGTTCTGGCGTTCCCGTCGCCTCCCCTGTCGGCTGCTCACTATGCTCCTCTTCCGTACAATCCCGCTGGCCTCTGTGGGCTGCATCTTCCCTTTTGCATTTGCAGGAACCCTCACGTGCTTCCGTCTCCACAGTCTTGTCGGTTGTTTGCAGGAGGTCCTGGCCCTCTGGCCTGTCACCCGCCTACAGCCAACTCCTTGGGACTCTGCTGTTCTCACTGTGGGGAAGGACGGTGTGTGACTATGTGGTCTGACGCAGGGACCCGCCAATGAGGGGCCTCTTGCCCCCAATCACATCCTCCTATCCCTTTCTCTGCCCCCAAACCCCCAGGGCAAAGACAGCCTCCGGATCCTGGTGGAGCCCGAAGGGGACAGCTTCCCTCTGATGGAGATGGGCACCTGTGAGGTGGGTGTCCGTGGGCCCCTCCCAGGCCCCCCCGGCCCTGTCCTGCCCCTTCACCTGCACCTGGCCCGGTGCCTCCTCCCTGCAGGCCGAGGCCTCTGAGCAGTGGGAATATGTCCTCGTGGCCCATCATCGCACCCAGGGAGATCCCCGGCAAGAGCAGTTCCTGGAGGAGCTCAGGAGAAAGGGCTTCCGCACCAAGGTGGCTGGTGCCCAGCGAGGGGCACGGGGCGTGGGGCCGGTCACGGGAGCACGGAGGGTCAGGCTTGGAGGCTGTCTCCTGGGCTGGAGGACTGGGGAGAAGCAGGGGCGTGAGAAGCTAGGAGGCTCCGGGGTCTGGGCCAGGGCTGCAGAGGTAGGGAAGGTTCGGAGGTGGAATAGAGGGTCCCGTGTGCTCCCCACCTTCAGAGGATACAGGACCAGAAACGGGTCTTCTTTGGGATCCGTGCTGACAACAGCATCTTCGACCTGTACCGCACCCTCCTCCTGGAGCCCGAGGGGCCTGCCCCCCACGCCGAGCTGGCCGCGCCGACCCCCGTCCCGGTCACCACGAGGTGAGAGGCTGCACCCAGAGCTGTGGCCAGGAGGATCCCTTGCCACCCGTGTGCTTGGTCCAGACCGGGCAGGAGACAGTGCCAGGCTCCGGGCATCACCAAGGCAGGACAGCCGCGTGGTCTCAGGGCAGGGGCCACAGGTGTGAGACCCACTGGCTGTGAGCCTCAGCTTCCCATCCCAATAAAGGATCATGGTGGTTCTCACCTCTCAGAGCGTTCTGAGGGCCCCGTGTGGCTGCCTGCGTTCCTGGGGACAGAGTCAGAGCCAGCCTTAGGGGGTGGGCAGCGTTTGCAGAGGCCCAGTGGCCCCTCCTGGACCAAGGCCAGTGTCTCTTGAAGACCCCTCCTCTCCAGGTCTGATGCCCCTTCCTGGACACTGTCCCTGGCCTCCCAGGCACAGACCCAGAGGCCTGGCAGGGACAGCCTCCTCACTCCCTCAGGCCCTGCTTCTCCCCAGTCCTCCAGCCCAGGAGGGAGCCTCCAAGCCTGGCCCTCCATGCCCCCATGACCTGCCCAGCCCCGTCCAGGCCCCGCAGGGCTCAGCCAGAGCCTGCTTTGTGGACCGGCCAAGGACACTCCTGGCATTGGTCACGAGGCAGTGGAGGGGGCAGTGGAGGGCATCTGTGAACATCCGTGAACAGAGAGCTGTGGGTCTTCGGGGGTCCCGAGGGGGCATCAAAGGAGGGGAGGTGGCTTGAGGGGGCGCGTACCTGCGACGTGCCCTGGGGTGTCCAGGAGCCATGTCTCTAGGCACAGGGGGAGGCTCAGAGCCCAGCTCTGCCGTCGGACACCTGGTTGTGCTGCTTCGTGGCTGTGTGGCCTCGGGACATTCCCTTTCCTGAGCCCCAGTCTCTGCACAGGCAGAACAAAACAGCTCCCAGGGTATAAGGAGGGTGTGTGCGGATAAAAGCCGGGGTGTGCTCTGGACACAAGGGGCCCGCAGGTGGGAGGTGTGGTTGGAGGTGGGGGCTGTGGTCTGGGATTCTGGGAGGGACGGGCTGGGAGGAGAGGAAGCCCCCAGCCCAACCTCATCCTGGATGCCGTGGGGCAGGTCAGGCCCCGGGAGCACTTTAAGGAGGGTGCAGGGGGAGCTCCCGGATGGGTTGTGGATTCTGGGTTCTGGTCAGGGCTGGCAGGCTGGGGGCTCCGCTGGGACGGGGAGGGGCCTGGGCCTGGCCAGACCGGAGGGCAGGTCGAGACCTGGAGGCAGGGTCCACTGTGGTCACACGGGCCCACCCTGCTCTGGCTCTTGAATCTCAGAATCCGAATCGTGAACTTCGTTGTCATGAAGACCAAGACCTCGGCTGGCGGTGAGGGCAGGGCTGGGGCACCGACGGGGTGCCGTGGGCAGCCTCCTCCCAGCACTTCACTCCCCCTGACTCGTGAGCCCCTGTGACCCACAGAGACCTTCGAGGATCTGGAAAAGGACGGGGTCTTCGAGGCCAAGTTCCCCCTGCACAAGGTGAGGAGTGGGCAGCCAGGAGAGGGCCTTGGGGTGGGACCCTGGGATGGGGGCTCTCATTCCCTGTCGCCCGAGCCAGGGGGAGGAATACCTGAAGAAGACGTGGGCAGGCTGGAGACACATGTTCCGCGAGCAGCCAGTTGATGAGATCAGGTAACGCTGGCCAAAGAGATCACAGGAACCCCACGGACGCCCCCAGATACCCATGGGAGCCCCCACAGCCCCGCAGACTAACCCACACACACCACCCGGAAGTTGCCACCCCCGTGGATGCCTCCACACCACCACGGCTGCCCTCACCCCTGTAGACGCCCCCACACACCACCCAGAAGATGCCCCCACACTGCCCACACCCCCACAGATGCCCCCATGCCCACAGACGTGCTCCCCATTCAGACTCACTGATGCCACCAAAGGAGAGACCCGCCTCCCCCACCCTGTCCCTCCCACCTCCACTGCCTCCCCCCCCCCTCGTCCCACCCCCACGCCCCCTCCCACCCCCGTCCCTCCCCCACTGCCCCCTGACAGCCACGTGCTCAGCGGAGCAGGCCTTGACCGCTGCTGCCTGCAGGAACTATTTTGGGGAAAAGGTGGCCCTGTACTTCGCCTGGCTGGGCTGGTACAACTACATGCTGGTGCCGGCCGCCCTGACAGGCCTCTTGGTTTTTCTGAGCGGATTCTCGCTGTTTGATGCCAGCCAGATCAGGTGGGCTGCAGCAGGGGCCAGGCGTGGGGGTCCGGGCTGAGCCCTGCTGCCAGGAGGAGCTGGCCCCAGCCTCATCCCTGCCCCTTCAGCAAGGAGATCTGTGAGGCCCACGACATCCTCATGTGTCCCCTCGGCGACTACAGCCGCAGGTACCAGCGGCTCTCGGAAACCTGCACTTTCGCCAAGGTTTGTCACCTCTGGGTCCACCCCAGGGCCTG